GAGTCCCATTACGGTTCCTCAGCTTGTAGAGCTTTCCAGTCATAGACAGGTTCAAGTTTAAAACAACAAGGGCAGAAATTGACTAAAATTATTTAAAACAAAAAACCCTTCATCAGCATCTAATGGTTGTTAGCAGATTGTTTCAGCTGTAGCTAGCCAGGTAATCAAGCTACCATTAGTCTCAAAGGTTAAACCAGAAGAAACAGAAACAGAGCACACTAGAGCACTAGCATTAGCATTAGCATATTTATTTTTATTTTTGGACAGTCTTTCACAGAATGAGTAATGGGCAGTAAGGGCCTGATTCACAAAAGGATGGCACAGTTTTTGCGCCTGCTAAACCTGTGCAAATGAGTCCAAAAGACGCAGTGCAATTAACGTAAGACATGCAAAGGGTTAAATGCACCCCTTACTGCGCTGCAGAGCAAAGCGTTTGTGTGCCAGTGCTGTTTGTCTGACTTGACGCAATATTTGGGGAATATTTTGGCCGATTCTATGCAAATCAGCCTCATTGCAAAAAGTGTTTATAGTTCACAAACACCGGTGCAAATAGCCACGCGCAGTTTGAGTGGAAAAATGAAAAAAAATCTGCTAAGAGTTGGTGGTCACTGCGCCACAGTGTTTATAAGAGATGTCACGTGCACGCTTCCCAGTGATCAGGAAAACTATTCTACTCTTTAATACAAAATAAAGGTCTATACATAACAATTTGGCATTAGAACAATCACATTTGTTTAGATGTTATTATCCTATTTAGCCTTGTACGTATTAGTCTTTGCTTATTTATTTTTGTGTTTATTGTTAATATTTAATAATCTACCTTTGTACAAAGAGAGCCCAGTTTTACCAAAGTAAAATTGTTTGTGTGTTTAAGCATACCTGCCCAATAAAGCTGATTCTGATTCTGATGTTTGGGGGTTGGCTCGATGAAGTCTTCTTTTCTTTGAGTTCGTCTTGCTTGCTCCATTCAGGGAGTTAGCTTTGTTTTCATGATCAAACGTGCATCACATTTTTCGGCTCTGGCCTCACAACACCGTTCAAAAGGTTTCCCCTCACCCCCAAGTTCATCATCTGTTTGTGGACTAAGTACTGTAGTGTTCTGCAGCTCCATGCAGAGCAAAAGTGTAGAAAGCTTTGCTCTGCATTCAAACACAAGACAGGAACAAACTGCACGGAGCAGGACATCATTATGGGTGTTCTTCTCCTGAGCATCATTGTGAGTAAAGCAAATGATGCACAATTTTTAGAGCTAATAGCGGCAGCGATCCATTCTCAGTGAATCAACCTCAGTTAGTGTTTTGACCCATTTGTGAAAAGAAAGGAACATAACTTATAACAACCACAAAGTTATGAACTTTTAGCCGTAGAAGAGAAACCTGTTTCTTCTGTAAGCTGCAGCTTATTTGGTTGAGTTAGCTTTCAAAGTGTGTCTCCATGTGCAGCAGGTTATGTGAGGTCATCAACCCCACCGAGGCTGCTGGTGTGTGTGTGTGTGTGTGTGTGTGTGTGTGTGTGTGTGTGTGTGTGTGTGTGTGTGAGTGTGTGTGAAAGAGCGAGAACCAAGAGTAAAGGGAGAGTCGAGGGCAAGAAGGAGCTATGCGTGTGTGCCCTGCTCTATTTGTCATCGCGGCCGCAGTCTTTGGTGACACCTTGTTCATTTGCGAAACCGACTGTTTGAGATGCAGGGATCGATCGAGCAAATAGAAGCAGGGCCCTGAAGATAGAGAGAGAGGGGGGAGAGAGAGGAGTGTGTGCAGATTTCATCTCCGACTTTGACACCTTTAAACCGGACACACGTCATCTTTTGAACTGGCATTCTAGTTTAAAGTACATTTTAAATCCTTCACATCGGTAGGAAAAAACATAAACAAGCAACTTTCTAACTTTTTTAGGCAACATTTTCATAATAAAATAAAAGCTCATAAGTTTTTCCTCCTCTGGATAAGAAGTACTTGTGACAGAAAATCTTTCTTAAAGCTTAAAAAAGTTTCCAAAAACTTCCATCTGAGCCAGCATTGACTTTCTATCTCCATCTGATAACTTAACTTCCATCCATTATGTTGACAGAACTCTTGATTTGAAATTGATTAGTTTAAAAGCAGCTCGAGGCTCCATGAATCTAAAACACACTCCTGAGACTTCATTTTTCAGCTCTGTGAGAAATCTGTCATTCTGACAGCCGTGCTGTCACTTTATAATGCACACTCAAAAAAAAAAAAAAAACTCACCTATGCCACAAACAGCATCACAATGATGATGCTGGTATTCTTATTTCCAGAATTTAGACTTATCCCGTTTAACATAATCTATTGTTGGAGTTGTGCAAAACCTACTTCAATAAAATAAGAACTCAATATTGATTTAAATCTGCTTTAAGGCATGTAGGATCTGCAGGGTGGTACAGGGCTATTGACAGTATCACTATGTGTCACAGGTTCAATTCCCACTTGCCCTTTATGTCCTCAGAGTGAGCCATGCAATAAGACTTGGATCTCCTACTTATTCACTCATAAAAAAACATCTGAATATACCTAGTGCAGAAAGTGCAGTTTCTTAAGTGTCCACTAAAAAAAGTACAGGAAGTCCTATACAACCCCAAGCTCCCAGGAACAGCACCAAACGTTAAAGTCAAATTAACATGATGGGTGAACCTGGTATTGAGACATCATGTGATGTCATTCGGCACAAAAATATTTTTTCCCCTAAGCTGACATTGGGAAAGAGATGTTAATAAATCAGTGGATTTTTTTATTTTTGGGTCAATCAACTTCCCAATATGAACACTTAAAGAGCCCATATTATGCCCTTTTTGGGGTTCATATATTTAATCTATGTTCCTACTTTTGTACGTTCACAATAATAAAGTTTGAAAAAAGTGTCTGTTTTCATGTACTGCTCCTCCTTGCTCCCTCTCCGCTCTGAGTCCGTCAGCTACGCTCTGTTGAGCCCACACTGTTAGACCCCACGTGGGCCAAGTCTGCTCTGATTGGTCTGCCGATCCGCTCTGTTGTTATTGGTCAGTTGCTCAGCACGGTTCTTAGCACCTTAGCACTACTGTGCTACCGCAGGCTACAGCGTATCGTGGGCGTGCTACAGAAGTTAACGGGCGTGCATCATGAGCTGCAGGGCTTGCCACAACGAGCCAATGGGCTTAGATCAGTGATCTCACACTGACAATGATGTCGGACTGACAAATTTTTATCAAGGGGGGCTAGAATCGAGCATTACATGCAGTTAATGTTACAGCTAACAGGAAGACGTAGGAGAAGCTGCGTTTACGCAGACTTTGAATTTTTGCACATAGATGTGCCTAAACATGCACAGGACACTTGGAAAACACACTAAAGAACATATAAAACCAGAAAAAGCATAATATGGGACCTTTAAATAACGCTTTTTATAGTCATAAGGTTGTTAAATACAATCAAGAGATTTTTTGTAAAACATTTTTGAATGTGCATTAGAGCCTCAACACTGTGACTCCACTGGATGCACATGGGCCCAGTAAGGAGGAAGATCCAGGTACTTTAACACGGGATTCAGACTTCTTCTGCTCAGACTCCAATGCTGTATCCACTTCTATAATTCATCCATGCAGCCATATTAAAACGTAAATGATTCTGGTCTCGATAGCTCATATCTTCATGGCACACACTGTATGTTGGGGGGGGGGGGTGAGACAGCAAATTCTAACATAGCGACTTCCATCGTCGGATTGCAAAAATGCAAATGTTCCTTTATTTTCCTGACATCCAGGGGTGTCTTCATAGGGGTGGCTACGGGATGTGTTTCCATATTCCCCCCACCCTTATTTCCAGGACATTGTTGCTCTGTCAGATGTAGTTGTGCATGTGTGTGTGTGTGTGTGTGTGTGTGTGTGTGTGTGTGTGTGTGTGTGTGTGTGTGTAGGGGGGGGGGGGGGGGGGGGGGGGCATGTCAGATCGGGCGGGCGGGCTGGACGGATCCTGGAAAAGGACAAACTATCGCGATCGTGTTTGGCTTTATTGTGGAGAATTGGGAGTGAATCAGTAGGAGGTTCATACAGGGAGCAAAGAAAGTCCAAACAAGCAACTGCACTTAAGAGAACAAGCCGATATTTGCAAGCGACTTTTCAGAAAAACAAACCCAAAGTCACTTATAACAAGCGGACCTGGCAACACTGCCCAGTTTGGCCACCCCGATTTAAAAAAAACTCTGCCTTCACGCCCCTGCTCATATCCAAACACTTAATCGTCATGGTAGTGTTTGCTCATCATGACATGGTGACCACAGAGCAGCTGGCAGCCGGGAGGGCTGGTGTGTCAGTATCACTCAACTTCCCATGTCACATCTTATAAGGCGATGTTTGAGACGGCACACACTCGAGAGGAATGCAAAGGAAGGCACATGCAGAAACACACACAGGTTCAACCCTACAAATAAACAGAGTGAGTGCTGCTCCAGTGGCCAGGCTGAAGTTAGTTTATATGGAAAGCTATGTACATAAGAGATCCAAGGCTCCGTATGAAGGGGATTCAGTAAACTGCATTACAAAGTGCTGTTGACTGTGTCAGGACACAGGAAAGGAATTCAAAGCAGGTTTCAGGAGATGTCACTTTCTAATGTATTGTATTTTTTAAAGCTCTCAGCTAAGCCATGCTCTCTCTCTCTCTCTCTTTCTCTCTCGCTCTCTCTCTCTCTCTCTCCAGCGAAGGGGAATTCTCCGTCCTGTCACTCCCGTCTTTGTCTGACCTCCGGTGTACCCGACTTTTCTCCTCCTAAATCTCCCTCCCCTAATCCTCCCCTGCCTCTCACTCTCTCTTTTTCACACACTTCCTATATTCCCGCCTCTGACTGATATACTGTACAACAGGGGATGGTTGAAATAAGAGACAGGCTGGAAAGCAATTGTCTTTTACCATGTGGAAGGAAGAAGCACTGTGAGCTTTTTAAGAGGAAGAATGATTGCTCTAACATCCCTCCTGTCTCTCTCTCTCTCTCTCTCTTCTCTCTCCCCACAGTGCAGTTCAACTTGATTCCTGTGGGACTCAGAATAGTGGCCATCCAGAGCACCAAGACAGGGCTCTACGTTGCCATGAACAGCGAGGGCTACCTCTACACTTCGGTACAGTAATGCCTTTAAAGATTTGGTCACGACCACCCCGACACTGTCTTCATCGTACCTTGACGATTAAAGACTTTAAAATATACTGTGTCACATGGCAAAGTGGCATCCAGTGGAGAGCAACTGGGCCAATGTTCCTGTGAGACAGCACACATGCATCCTGAACATGTATCATTCATACTCATATCTGAGCTAAAGATCAAGTTTGATATCTGCTGGAAAAAATCAAGAAGTTATCATTTATTAATCCCACAAGGGGAACACTCTGTAGTCTGTTACATACAGAAGACTGAAATGTGCACCATTGGAGTCCTATGTACATGCACTAATGGAGAGATGTCAGAGTGAGGGGGCTGCACATGAGCGGCCCCGAGCTGTTTGGGGTCCTTGGGGTTGCCTTGCTCAAAGACACATCAGCAGTGCTCAGGAAGTGAACTGGCACAGCCATTTTCCAGAGAAGGTCTGCACTGGCACTTGAACCTGCGACCCTCCCGTTCCAAGGGTTAGCGGGTTACTGGTTTGAATCCCCGTCTGACAGGAGTCTCTCTGTGTGGAGTTTACATGTTCTCCCTTTACATGTGTGGGTTCTCTCCGGGTTCTCCAGCTTCCTCCCACAGATCAAAAACATGCTATAGGTCAGTTGGTGACTCTTATATTGGCCGTAGGTGTGTTGTAGCCCTGTGATTGACTGGCGGACAGTCAGGTGTGTGCCCCGTCTCTCGCCTGGTGGCTGCTGGGAAACGCTCCAGCCCGCAACCCCGAACATGAAAATGGATGGATAATAGGATACATTAATAAAAGGATAAATTATGATACTGTATTCGTGTTTTTAAAAGGTTATTCCACTTGTTGCCATAGTTTTTTCGACATACATCACACTACTATCTTTAGAGTTGTTTAGAGGGGCTTTTCTGTGTGATAGTGCTCAGTGTGATGAATCAAAAGATTCTGTTTGTTATATTGAGATCTTTCTGTGCTACCACAGAACAACAACCCTACCTTCAAATCTCTTTATTTACAATTGAAATAATTTTTTAAAAGTTAACGATATATATAATTTAAATTTATTCAGAAAAATGTTGCAGTTCATTTAAATTTGTGATATTTTTGAATTGAATATGAATGAATGATGTTGTACTGCGTGTGTGTTATTAGAAATTGAGTTGAACTGTCCGCACACACACACACACACACACACACACACACACACACACACACACACACACACACACACACACACACACACACACACACACACACACACACACACACACATTACTGTCATGTGAGACTCATGGTAGAAAGCAGTTTCCTTTGATAAGAGTCGTATCCCTGCATACGGCTTCTCTTTCACTCATACATCATCAAGCTGAGGTGGTGACATCCGAAACTGTGTGAATGTCTGTTTAAATCTGTTCATGAAACACTTTCCCTCCTTCTCGGTCACAGCGGCACTTGTCGTCTACGACAGTTGAAAACCGCTCACACAGCGCTTCCAGAGAGTCGTCTCGCATTGATGTGCAGAGAGTCACAGCACAAGCCGAGGCCGCAGATTTGAGAAGGAGATGGAAGAATAGATGACGAAGAGACAGAGGGGTGGATCAGAGTGCACTGTATCAGGATGCAAAAGAAAAGCCCCCTTCTTTTTTCCCAGACTTTTTTTCTCTTGGCACACAAACAAAGCATGTGAGATCTTGTTTGAAGTGCTTCGGTGCGCTCACTTCAAAGCCCACCTGACCCTCCCCGCATGCATACGAGGAGAGGAGATAGCTTCATCCTGCCACATATACATTGTGTGAGCATTACACTGCCGACGCATAGACATCCACATTCCCTATTGTTTGTCCTCCGTTCTAGCTTTGACTATGTCTGGAGACTGTTTTGGTTCAAAGGTCACACAACGTGATGTTTAGTTGTTTGCAAGGCTGACTTTGATCTGAGTTCTGATTGGCTCTGGAGTTTTCTTTTAGTTTTGGTACCTTGTGTATCAGGAAGAGAAATTCAAGGAAGCATAAGGCAATCCTTGTGCATCAATTTGAAATATCTCTGATTTAAAGAGGACATATTCTCCCTCTTCTCCACCTTTTCAAACAGTCCCCTGTGGTCTAAATGAAACATCTGTGCTGTGCTTTAGTCAAAATATAACATGAATCAAGCACCAGAGGAGGTTTGTGACCCTGTATAAACCAGCTCTCTCAGAACGCTCTGTTTTGGAGTGTGTGTCTCTTTAAATGCAATGATGCTTCATCATCAAAGCATTCAAGAGGTAAACACTATGTCAGTGACGCCCAAAGTAGGGCCCATGCATGCCCCCTGGGGAAAACCAAAATGAACAAAATTGCTGAGATGACAGTTAGACCAAGTCTGACTGAAATGCTAAGTTTTACTTTGTAATAAAAGTCTTGTCAGGTGTAGTCTTATCTCTAGGTACATCTTGTTGAAATGACAAAAGTATTGCCCCTGCATATTTTACCCTTACCCACCAAGATAAATAAACTTTTCCCCCTAATGAGCCCCAGAAAATGGTCCTTGCATATGACTTTTCCAGGGCTTGGAACCCCCTCCAGACAGATAAAACCTTGCGCACACACAAACACACACACACACACACAGAGGTTACTCTATCCCAGGCATTCTCCTGGCAGAAGAAAGGTGACCCATTTTCACCGAGGGAAAGAACCACGGGGAACGAGAGAGAGAGAGAGAGAGTGAGAGAGAGAGAGAGCAGAAGGAGAAAATCCCTCTGAGATGAGAAATGGGGGAGGACAAAGGAGAGGAGGAGGATTCTTCCCCCTCTTTCACCTTAAAACACCTCCTCTGCTATTGTTCTGTTTGAACGTGAGCAGCAGCGAGACAGGAAAAGAGGAAGACGGAGCAGAAATGGAGGAGGAGGGCATGGTCGCCCTCAGGGGTCTGTAGAGAGGCAGAGCAGGCCTTTAACACCCTGGTTATGTAATCAGTGTCATGTGCTGGGAACAAGGTCCCTGCGTCTTCCCCTAAAGGATACTGGAAATTACAGCAAGCATTCAAAGAATTAACCTCAATTCAAAAGTTCAACGGGAACATTGGGACATTTAAAAAAATATATCTTTCCATGTTTTATTTTAGGTCATGAGTACAAATTGTTTGCTGTAGTGGAAACTGATTTGAGACTGTGAGTGAGGAGGGAATTCTGTTGTTTAATTTCTTATGTGGGGCTTGTGTTCAAGATTTATCATGAAAGAGATGCTTGAGATAATAGCTGTTTATTGTGACTCTTGAGGGGAGGGAGGGAGGGGCAGGTAGGCAAAGCCTCCCATACAGTAGATGGGGAACTGACTGTGGTTGATAAAGATACTCTCATGCCCTTTTAAAGCTGCTATGACCAATTTTTTCACATCAAAACCACATAAAAATGACTTCATGTATCTGGTGATTGATTGGCTTCAGGTCATTTGTCTGATTTCATGACCCACAATTCCACATGCCCTCTGCATACAGAGACCCTGCATGCTTTAAAGGAGGCACGTAACTGCTGACATTAGACAGGCTGCTTCAGACATCCCAGAACCCCCTGCTTCATGGTGCATGTACTCACAGCTGCAAGTAGCATTTTGGATCATGCCATAGCAGTTCCTACGAGACAAGACTAGCAGTTATATCTTTTGTTTATGTTTTTTACTCAGCTCAAATTTAAGGAGTGTTTTCCACCAAAATCAGAGAAAAAGGCAGAAACCAAGGTGTAGAGGTATTTCCTCTTACCTTTTTATAGCAATACCAAAAGGCTCTCCTCTGCTGCGGCAGTGTTTCAGTGGCTACTCAGCATTAATCTTTCATGGGCCTCTGTGGCAGACGTTCCCTTCCACTACCACACAGACTCACAAACACACACACACAGATAATTAGAACACTTATTTAAAGGATTTGAAAATGAAGTGCCTCCTCCCAGCTGTACATTTGCCAGTAATGGCTCAGAGAGAAGAGAAAAGCAGTTTCCCAGCTTCTTAAGCCCCATCATTGATCTTTGTTTATCAGTTTCATCTTTCTCATTTAAAGCATCTTTTATTGTAATTTTCTCTGTGTATTATCTTCAGTAGTTGCTGTTTGTTTTATGTTTATTGATGCCTAATAATATCAGCTGCTCCCCACAAGGATCATTGAAATTTCATCTGAGCACCTCATTTAATTAAATGAAATCACCTTGAATATTTCAAAGATTTGCAGTGACCTAAGTTTATCTTACACGCTCATTGAGCAGCCTGTAACACAGCTCTTACAGTGGTGTAATGTTTCTCTTTTGTGCTCTGAGCTGGTTTCTTATATAAGATATTAATCAGTTAACACTGCCTCAAGGAAAACCATAACTGATAAGGGCATGAAAGAGTCCCATAAGCAATTATTGGTCAAGGTCAACAATGCCCAAAGAGGATTTCTTTTTTTCTTATTCTCCTCCACAGGGAGGTCAAAGGTCAGCTGGAGCAACAGCAACAGCACAGCAGTCCTGTATGATTCTCAAAATTTAGACATTTGCTCAATGACAAAGCAAGGTTATAAACCAGGGTCCAGTGGCGATTCTAGAGTCTGTTGGGGCCCTTGGCAAAAATTCATTGGGAGACCCCTCCAACCCGTGTTCATCACCATCATGTCTGCCAGTGTCCCAACGCTTCCCCTCTTAGTTTTGTCACTCCCTGACGAATGATTCCTGTTTGTTTTCCTTCATTGACAAAGGTTGGTTTTCAAAGGAGAGGGAGTGCTGTCACATGGGGCCCCTTTAGGGAGGTATCCTACTGTCATTGCAGAATTTGCACATTTTGAGTCACTGCTGTGGTTTCAAGTTTGTCAGCCCTTGGGGGTCCCTTACTGGCCTGGATCCCCAAGCAGTTTCCTGCCTTGCCTGTTGACAAACAGCGTCTCTTCCATGGTCCCTTAATAATATAAACTTATAGAAATGTACTTACCTAAAATTGCATTGATGAAAACACCTATTAGGACTTATTTTATAGTATTACTAAAACATACAT